TAAAGCTTAAAGTCTCTACTTTCGAAATCCATAATTCATTGAATGACTTACTGATTCTTTACAAAGCTGCACAGATGCAAATGGAGATGCATCAAATCTAAAAATTTTTTACCAAGTTTGCGAAGTTCCATGGCGTGAATTAAAAATCGCACGCAAATGAGGTTTACAGCGTTCGAAAGCGTGAATCTTTAGCTTTAATTTGAGCATTCGACCAGCATTGTGCGATTTTTTTTCACCGAGTTATTCAACATTGAAGCAAAAATTACTATTTTATAAAATAATGAAAATAAATATAACAGATATACAAATATAACACAATGAACAGAATATAAAGACATAGAAAGTTTATAGTTTTTTTTAAATTTGAACAAATAAGAAAACTAGGTAGACAAAAGTAAGTTTAATTTTATATTTTTGTTATTACAATCACATCTTGTTAATTTTAATATTTTGTAGGACCTCCTTTGCTTTCTAATACTGCTTGTAGTCTTTTTGGTATACTTTTAATTAAATTCTTTAATATGTTTATTAAAGATTATACCTTTTTGTTGTAATACTTTCCAAAATGATTCTCTGTTAGTACGACTACTTAAAGGGATATGTGCATCTAGAATCGTCCAGAGATTCTCTATAAGGTTGAGATCTGGCGACTGAGGTGGCCATTCGAGTTCTTCCATTTTTTTTTTTTCATCAAAAAATTTAGATACTACTTTAGAAGTGTGCTTATGGTCATTATCCTGTTGAAAGATTAAAAGAAAGATTAAAAGATTAAAAATTAATTAAAAGTATACCAAAAAGACAGCAAATAGTATTAGAAAGCAAAGGAGGTCTTACAAAATATTAAAATTAACAAGATGTAATCGTAATAACAAAAATATAAAATTAAACTTTTGTCCATCTAGTTTTCTTATTTGTTCAAATTAAAAAAAAACTATAAACTTTCCATGTCTTTATATTCTGTTCATTGTGTTATATTTGTATATCTATTATATTTATTTTCATTATTTTATAACATACACATACTTATGTAAATACTCATTTATGTTTTAAAATAAAATTCCGTTTTCCCAGAAAAATAATGTTTTTCATTCAATTTATCTTTTAAACTTACTCTTGTCCGCCACTGTACATTAATTTTGAATTTAGTCCTTTTAATAAATTAATTACTTTTTAAGAAGGGCATTTTTGCATCGATGTTGAATAACTCGATGAAAAAAAATTTCAAGATAGAGCAACTTCGTCAAAAATGTCTCGTAACGAGATTTTTAAAAAAGCAATTTACAGCTTGAAATCTCCACTTTTCAAATTGATACTTTAGAAAACGACTGAGTTTCTTCGGAGCCGCACAGTTACAAATACAGGTGTGACAAATCGCAAAATTTTTCCCAAACTTTGCAAAGCTCCAGAGCGTGGAATAAAAATCGCACACAAACGCGGTGTACATCTTTGGAAAGAATGAATCTTTCTCTTTAATTTGCTTTTTTGTTGAGCGTCGTACGATTTTTTTTCACCGAGTTATTCAACATTGAAGCAAAAGGGTCATTTTTGCTTCAATGTTGAATAACTAGATCGGAAGAG